TGTTAATTGCCCTTTTTACAGTATGCACAATGCACAAAGAATAATGCACATATTTACACTCTTATGTTAATGTTGTGTGTGCTTCAGCCCTTTCCGTAGTCACTGTGCCTAATGTGGTTAGTGTTACTTGAATACTGGGCTGTTTCTGCAACAAGCCTCTCATAGATAATTGGAGCATATTTAGTTTTTTTCCTGTATTTTTCCCACCTTGAGAATCAAGGGCTTCGTTCGTGTTGATTTTGGAAATGAATTGGCATGGGTGTGATTATGAACAATGCATTCAGAAATTCGAATGAATGTCTGTAATAAAGGGTTTTGAAAGTGGCCCAAAAGAATGTGTCCCTGTTATGTAAAGTGCTTCGCTCGATAAACGTGTTGGCTCAATAAAGGTTTGCTGAAGTGAAGTGAATATAAGAGGTGCAGCAGCATTGCAAACTTCAAGATAAACTTATGCAAGCCTCAACAGATACAGAACAAATTTGAATTGTGTTAAAGTAGTTTGTAATAAGATGTGATGGCCAGAGGACGTGTCTGCTGTTGAGTCATGATAAAATAAAGCATCAATGACATAAACCAGGAAAAGCAACCAGACTGCACTGTGTGCACACAAGATAGATTCAGAACATGTCACTTCATATTTACCAGTTTATCCTCCTCTAACATCTCCCCAGATTATTCAGATAAAAAGGACTGGATTATATCTGAAAGGCTTTACTTCAAAGGTAGATTTCATTTCTGCAGCTAATTTGGTGTTGTGATGTGTTGTGTTGTGACTAGGTGGTTAATTATGTGTGTGTCTGGACTCTCAAGTGTTTATGTCTGTTCACAACAACCAGAGCCCTATGGGCCCTTGTAAAGTAGTGCACTATATAGGGAATAGGGTGTCAATTGGGACGCATCCAGAGTCACATCCTCTCACAGAGATCAGAGATATAATGACAGTTATTATATTATTTATTAAACTAACAGTCACCTCAATAAATTAACTTACAGCTAACGTCAATACACGTCAACATAGGTCAATACATGTCCTGCCTCATTGTTGTGCTATTGTGCAGAGGGTTCTGAGTTCGCATTCTGATTTGGGAATAAATACAAGTTGAGAAGAAATGCCTTGGCTTTTCTGGGTCAGTTGTATTGATGGTGCCTCTGGAGTACGTTGTGTTATTGTGCAGAGGGATGTGAGTTTGTGTCCTGTTTCGGGAACATAAGGCCGAAACTCACAATGTTATAAAAACAGTGAATATGGTATAGTAACGTGTTGAGACAACAAGATGTTTGGGACCTTATCGGTCAACATGAATGTCCTGTTAATATACCTCCAAGAGACACTACTGTAACAAACTATCTCCGATGTGCACATTAAAAGTAGAACTGAAAAAGCCCCATTCGACCGCAGGGACTTTACATTGGGTCTCAGTAGAGGATATCTAAGTAGTTTGCTGTCAGAAAACCCCAGGAAGGCTATGATGCACATGCGCCAAATACTGCGAAATGCTTACTTACAAGCCCTTAACCAGCGATGCAGTTTTAAGAAAATAGAGTTAAGAAAATATGTACTAAATAAACTAAAGTAAAAAATATATAAATAATAACACAATAAAATAACAATATTGAGGCTATATACAGGGGGCACCGATACCGAGTCAATGTGCATGGGTACAGGTTAGTACATTTTAGTCATTTAGCAGACGCTCTTATCCAGAGCGACTTACAGTTAGTGAGTGCATACATCTTTTTTTTTTTCATAGGAAATCAAGGTAATTTGTACATGTACAGTGAGGGAAAAAAAAGTATTTGATCCCCTGCTGATTTTGTACGTTTGCCCACGACAAAAACATGATCAGCATAA